TTTCTCTTCTATTGGGGGGGTGAGGGCATGCTAGCAAGCTTGTTTCCCACCATAAGCCACTCATATTACCTCTGGTTATGTGCCACATGGTCCTGTAAAAGAACTGGAATATGTGTCATTGAGCGCAGCACAATTTGTTTGGGTGATCTAGTTGTCATGTTTGAGTAACTGACCATGTGTTCATGCTGTGAGATATGAGCATGAGGCTTGGAGTGGTGCCAAGTGGATGAGATTTTTTTATTATTCATTCATGGGATGCAAGCGTTATAGTGCAACCAGTTGCCCATCTCTAATTGCCCACAAAAGCAATGAGTGTTAAATAAGTCATGATTGATCAAGATCATTGAGCAGTGTATGAAGCTAGTGGCTTAATTGTAAGATTATGCCATTTAAAGATGTACTCACTGAACTTGATCATTTAATAAGTTATTGACCTTCTGTTGATACTGCATTCAAAATGTCCTTTGGGCAATATGGTTAGTATTGATCTCCATGGCTATTTGTTCTCTCTTCTTTATAAATGCATTGCTGGAGGGCCTTCTGAAAAGATTATCTAATTCCTTCTGTTTTCCCCCCTCCTACGCTAGCACCTTGAAGCCTGTATCAGAAAATCCTGGAGCCTGTTATTTGCTTTGAAGTGCTGTTTATACTCTTCTGTAACTGAATTGTCCCCAGCTACTTCCAGCAGTTGCTCCATGCAAACTGTAACTCCCCTTGACCCGGTACAAGCTGATTTAAGTGGTGCCTGCTCGCTCTAAGTCGGGGTAGGTATGCAGTCACTTAGTGTTGTATGTAACACTGTGCTACACAGGGGTACAATATAAATGAGCAAGCAGCAGAAAATTTGTATTCTGCTTGGAATGCTTTGAACAAGTGGACATTAATTGTGTATTGCAATCCCTGTGGTAGATTTTGGTCACAACTCAACTTTCAAAGAACTGAATTTAATCTAGATAACTTGATTTGAAAGGTAATGGAGAAATTAACTGTTATGAAGGCACTATATTATACATTTCTTATGGGTATGATTGTAAATCATTGCATCTGAGATTTCTCTGGTCCCAAAAACATGTTTTTGGATATACCCACCTTACAAATGGTCCCTTTGTCAACCTTGATATGCTAAATGTACATGAGAAGTCAGCCTCACTAATGCATCTTTTGCACTACATTTTAACTAAGCGTTAGGGATCAACCCAGGTATTCTGGGTAATATTACGTGGATTAAGCTATGCCCAATTTTATAACATGAGAAATAAATGACATTTCAAACCAGTCACCCATATCCATTCTGATGTTTCACTTTTATCCCATGTATATATGCTGATTGCTGTTCTGGGAGGGATTTTTCAATGTTTCGAAGGTCAGTTCATTTGCTGAAATCCACAGTATTTTAATAGTGCAGCGTTCTAAATAGTTCTTCATTGATCTTCAGTGTGTTATGAAGAATATGTTTAGCAGTGTTAACACCAAATCTCTTCAACCTGTTTTTTTTTAATTTGTTTTTAAATCTGTCTTTATTTTTGTATTAGCTGGTTTTGTATTTGCTCAGACATGACATGACAATAAGTTATAGTCCAGCAAGTTTATTCGAAATCACAAGTCAGCACCCCACCTGACAAAGGAGCAGTTCTCCCACATCTCCCGCAACTCATCCCTCACACCCCGTCCACGCAATAACAACCAAAAAAGAATCCCCCTCGTCCTCACGTACCACCCCACCATCCTCCGGATCCAATGCATCATCCTCCGACACTTCCGCCATCTGCAATCCGACTCCACCACCAAAGACATCTTTCCCTCCCCACCCTTATCTGCTTTCCGGAGGGACAACTCTCTCCGTGACTCCCTTGTCCGCTCCACACTCCTCTCCAGCCTCACCACACCCAGCACTTTTCCCTGCAACCGCAGGAAGTGCTACACCTGCTCCCATACCTCCCCCCTCACCCCCATCCCAGGCCCCAAGAAGACTTTCCACATCAAGCAGATGTTCACCTGCACATCTGCCAATGTGGTATACTGCATCCGCTGTACCCGGTGTGGCTTCCTCTACATCGGGGAAAACAAGCAGAGGCTCGGGGACCGCTTTGCAGAACACCTACGCTCGGTTCGCAACAAACAACTGCACCTCCCAGTCGCGAACCATTTCAACTCCCCCTCCCATTCCTCAGACGACATGTCCATCCTGGGCCTCCTGCAGTGCCACAACGATGCCACCCGAAGGTTGCAGGAACAGCAACTCATATTCCGCTTGGGAACCCTGCAGCCCAATGGTATCAATGTGGATTTCACAAGTTTCAAAATCTCCCCTCC